AAGGTAGTGATGCAAATTCAGTTGTAGTCTTCAAAACAGAATTAGCTAAACTCTGAAAGAGAAGAAGTTGTAGGAATGTGGGGTAAGCGTTGGGGGAAGGGACAATTCTTCAAAAGAACCAACAGGCTTGATTATTCAAATAGTTACTGCGGTTCATTTCATTTCTGTTTCTGTAATTATAATTGCTTGGAAAATAAACGAGAGTTTAGCATGATTGTAGTGGTTTTGAAAATATTTCCTGCCTTGTAAAATAGCCTGGAAAGTGTGGCAGACAGCTGATTATAGCAGGGTTTGCATGCAAGCAGCCATGCTTTTAATTTGTTAGCAAAGCTGATTTGTGAAATTATTTGAATGTAAAATGTTAACAAACAGTCTGAATTATAGCCATCAAGTATCCTTTCAGCTACTGCAAATCGATGTTTTGAATTTCTGAGCCATGTAGATGAGCGAGGTTCTAAGTTTAGCTTGCTCTACTAGCAGATTTCAGCTGGAAATGTAAAAATGCTACCATTAATGACTTCTGTTAAAGGGAGTATATATGCACAGCATAAAGCAGGATTAGGCTAGATTGTGATGGCTGTTGCAGTTTAATGCATGTTTAATGGCATTAAGACTCGATGTTGGCATTGTACCTTGCTCCGAGTGGGGATATAGGAACCAAGCACGAGATTGTAATCTGAATACTGCAGGACTGAATGTTTTAAATCTGCTGAGGCAGAACGTGAGTGAACTGTTAGTTCTGAGAAATCCTCTGATCAAGAGGCCTGTGAGCCCTGTACAGTGTGAGTTGTTTAGTTATGCAGGGATTGCAGACTGAATCAATGGAATGAAAATTGAATTGCTCAGTTGGACCTGGTTCTTGCAAATCAGGTGGAAAATAGAAACAGTGTTCATTGAATTATATGGTTCAGGATGATAGTGGAGGATGAAATGCAACGATCTAGAGCAAGAAAAATCAGTTGGCAGAGAGCAGGCTTCAATGGGGCAGGATTGACTGGAACCAGAGGTTAGCAGGCAAAGGAGTGACTGAACAATAGGTTACCTTCACAGAAGAGATGGTTCGGCCACCATCTAAGTATGTTCCTTCCAATGGGAAAGGTAGCACAGGCAAATTTAGAGCTCCCTGAGGTAGAAATTGAGGTTAAGAAGAAAAAGTATGCTTGTGATAAATCTCCGGTAGAAAATAAAGTTGCGATCAATGGGAATATCAAAGATTCAGAGGGGAAGTGAAAAAACAAGTTAGAGAAACGAAGAGGAATTGTGAGAAAAGACTAACAGCCAACATAAAGAAGGCCCCAAAATCATCTATGGCTGTATGAATAGTAAAAAGGTGGTAAAAAGAGGAATGGGGCCAATTAGAGAATAAAAAGGGGATTTACACCTGCAGGTAGGGGGTTAGGACTGAGGTGTTAAATGAATACTTTGTGTCTCTCTTTGTTAAAGAGAGAGGTGCTACCCAGGCCATGGTAACAGAGGATGGGACTCGGTCAATAGAAATTCATAATCGATAGTACAGACTTGTTGGATAAACTGTTGATATTTAAATTTGACAAGGCACTAGGACCGAATGAGATGTGTCCAAGGCTTTTGAAGCAAGCGAGAGTAGATATTGCAGCGGTACTAGCCACAATCTTTCAATCTTCACTAGGCTTCAGACACTGGAAAAGTACATTGCAGCCTTCTTTAAGACAAATCATAAGGATAAGCCCAGCAATTATAGACCATTCAGTTTAGGTTCAGTGATGGGGAAATTTCTAGACACGATTAGTCAGGGTAGAATTATTAGTTGCATGAAAAGTGTAGGTTGGTTCGGAAGAGACAGTATGGATTTCTGAAGGGGAATTCACGTTGATCTAACTTGCTGGAGTTTTCTTTGAAGAGGTAACAGGCTCAGTGAGGGCTGTAGTGTTATTGTGGTGACCATGGACTTTGAGAAAGTGTCTGATAAAGTGCCACATGGCATACTTGAGGAAAGTTATAGGTTATGGAATAAAAGAGTCAGTAACAACATGGATACAAATTGGCTAAGTGATAAGAAACAGAGTAATGGTCAATGGCTATTTTTTGGGCTGCAGAATGGTTTGCAGTGGAGTTCCCCAAGGGTTGGTATTGGGACTCTTGCTTTACCTGATATATGTTAATGATCTAGGTTTTCATGTGCAGAGGGCAGCTTCAAAGTTTGCAGATGGCACAGAACTTGGAAGAATTACAAACTGTGAAGAGGACAGTGTAGAACTCCAGAAGAACAGAAACAATTTGGTGGAGGGGCAGATTGGTGGCAGATGTGTTTCAGGACAGATAAGTGGCATTTTGGTAGGAAGAACATTGAAAGACAACATAATATTTTCTTATGAAATGTTGAGTAGGTTGGACTTGTACTTATTAAAGTTTAGAAGGATGGGAAGTGACCTTACAGAAACATACAATGTTTGAGTAATGAAACAAAGAACAGTGGATGCTGGAGATTTGAAACAAAAACAGAACATGCTGGAGAAACTTCGCAGGTCTGGCAGCATTGATGGGAAGAAAACAAAGTTAACTTTGGAGTCTGGTCACTCTTCTTCAGAACTACTGTGTTTTTTCCCCATCAATGCTGCCAGACCTGCTGAATTTCTCCAGCAAGTTCTGTTTTTGTTTCGGATTCTAACAGGGATTGACCGGGTAATTGCAGTTGAGGTTCTTTCTGCTTGTGGGAGAGTCTGGGACCAGAAGGCATAATCTCGCAATGAAGGGTCACCTATTGAAGACAGAAATGAGGGGGCATTTCTTCTTAGGGTAGTGAAGTGGGGAGGGAGGTTCGGTAGTGGTGGTGCTGGTGCAGGAGCAGAGGGACCTGGGTTTAAGATAACAAAGATAATAAATTTCACAGAATTTCTGAAGAAGGGTCCCGACCCAAAACGTCAGCTTTCCTGTTCTTCTTATGCTACCTGGCCTGCTGTGTTCCTCCAGCTCCACACTGTGTTACCTATGACTCCTGTATGTATTTAAATTGACTTGCAAAAGAAGCAAGGATGAAGTGAGGAAAAACCTTCTCACTCTGAGTAATTAGGGTAAGGAATCCAATACCTGGAAGTACGGTGGAGGCAGGTTCAAAGGAAACATTCAAGAGGACATTGAATGATTACTTGGATAAAGATAATGTGCAAAGTTGGGGGTAAAGCAGGAGTTTGACACCAAGTAGTAATGCTCATTTAATGAAGCAGAGCAAGTATAATGGACTGAATGGACTCCTGCACAGTAACACTTCTGTGATTCTGTGAATGGGTTTGACAACATGTAGACCATTTCACCAGATTGATGTTCATTCGTAATATAAATTACCTCCTGTATTTAGTTGAGTTATAAAGAAGAGGGTCATATTGTTATCCTCAGTTGTTATACTGTAAAGATAGTTGTAGTAGAAGTGCATTTTTAAACGTAAGGTATTCGGACGGCTTATTGCAGTGACCAACATTATTATAGCTAAGAGCATGACTGAAGGCTGCCTTGAAATTTGATAAATATGTTATTCAGCATGAAACTCAGAGTCTTTGTACCTTGCAGTCTGTCTGGTAAGTGCTGAAATTTACCATGTGTAATCTTTCAGTGATTAGCTTTTTTAAAAGGGAGCTTTTGCACACTGAAATAAGATGGCCACAGAAAGAGGAGCCTCTTGATGGCAGATTAGAACAATTGACCTTCATCGTTGCATTTGACAAACTATAAAATGTTGTTGATAGCTTACCAGTTATTAACGGGGTCTGAAGGAATAGGCTGGGTTACTGGTCCCCAGGTTCTTTCACATCGGCACAGAGGGACCCTGTAAACCACCTTTATACTTTACTGTTATGATATTTCACTAATGTATTTTAAAAAATCAACAGTTTTTATCTTTTATTTAACAATACATTTTTTTAAGAGACATAACTGTAAACTGAAGACCTTACCTTTTATTTTAAAGACTAGAAATGTTCACCAACCAGTTTCTTAACCTGCACTCATGCCACGCTGTTGTTTGTGACATCACTGCACTGATGGTCTCACTGCAGCACTGTGTCCCCATTCATGGCTTTACACCTTCTCCTACCTCTCACTGTGGAGAGTTTACTTCTTGCAGTAAACTTTAGTTAAAGCACCACTGTCCCCCTTGCACCAATTTCCCACTTAAACCAAATTTCCAGCACTTCTGTCACTCAGTCTTCATCACACATCTGTCACTGGAAACATGGTGGCGTCCATTGTTAAGGAAGAAATAGGACCTTTAGAAAAGCTTATCACAGTCAACAAGTCCCTAAGATTTTGTGAAAAGGAAACAATGTTTGACAAATTTTCTTGAGTTCTACAGAGATATAACAGATTTGATAAAGGGGAGCAGGTAGATATAGTGTATTTGGATTTTCAGAAAGTACTCAGTAAGGCACTGCATAAAGGCTAAAGCAGAAGATTGGATCTCATGGTATTGGAGGTAGTATGTTAGCATAGTTTGAGGATTGCTTTACGTGCAGAAGAAAGTGTCAGGTCTTTTTCCAGGTTGGAAAGAGGTAACTACTAGAGTGCCCCAAGGATCTGTCCCGTGGCATCAATTATTTTTATTTGCCTAAATGAGTTGGAGAAGGGGCAGAGTGTAGTGTATCCAGATTTGCTGACAGCACAAAAATAGGGGGGAGGCCATGGTTGTGATTAATGCATAAGGAATCCACAAGGGGATCTAGATCTTTTGAATGAGTGAGCAAAAGCTTGGCAGATGGAGTTTAGTGTAGTGTGTGATCATGCATTTGATTAGGAAGAATCAAAAGTTCTTCTCCATTCTCACCAGCCTGTGCGATAGTGATAAAGTTGAAAATCTGTGTGTGCCTTTAAATATATATGAAATTAAGTGTTAAACATATGGGTGATTGAATACAAAGTTCACTGTTTTCCTCAACAGAAAAGTAGTCAGGTGCAAATGTTGCTCTGTTGACATAGCTATGTGAATAATTGCATTCTTGTGCTGACAACATAATTTATTTTATATTTTGCAGATGGATTGTAGACATGGAAGGAGCACCAGGCACATTATATGAAGGAGAGAAATTTCAGCTTCTGTTCAAATTCAGTGGTCGTTACCCTTTTGATTCACCTCAGGTGAGTACACAGAATCTTATGGCTGTAATAGTTATTTCTGTAAGTGAATGTTTACTTTTTAAAAAATGGTAAAACTAGTATAAAATAATGTACAAATTCAAAATAAGATCCATGTGGAAACCCACATAATCTCATGTTTTATCGTCTGTGTGCTACAGTTTGGCCCAATATATTCCTAATCACATTAAGGTTTTGCTTAGGGTGGACATAATGGCTGTGCTTAGGGAGGATATTCCATGGAGATCATCCAGTGAATCTACAAATCTACTGCAAAACCTTAGATCATCCAGTGAAGTTATATGTGTGGAACTTGAAAATAAGAAAGGAATGGTCACCTTTTTGGGATTGTATTACTGGTTCCCCAATGGGCAGCAGGAAATTGAGAAGCAAATATGCAAGGAGATCTCAGATATCTGTAAGAAAAATACGGTTGTAATAGTGGGGATTTCAACTTTCCAAGCATAGACTGGGGCTGTCACAGTGTTAAGGGCTTGGATGGGGAAGAATTCAATAAGTATGTTCAAGAAAACCTTCTTATTCTATATGTGGATGTACCTGCTAGAGAAGGAGCAATACATGAATTTCTGTTGTGAAACAAGACAGGGCAATTGACTGAGGTATCCGTGGGGGAGCACTTTGGAGCAAGTGATTATAATTCTATTAATTTTAAAATAGTTATGGAAAAGGATAGAACTGACCAAAATGTTAAAGTTCTAAATTGGAGTAAGGCCAATTTTGATGTATTAGTTGGGACCTTGAAAAAGTTGATTGGGAAGGCTATTAGCAGGTAAAGGAATGGTTGGGAAATGCAAGGCCTTTAAGAATGGGATAACGAGTTCAGAGACAGTCTGTTGCTGTTAGTGTGAAGGGCAAGGTTGGTTGGTGTAGGACTGCTGGATGATGAGACAAATTGAGGCTCTGGTCAAGAAAAAGGAGGAGGCATAGATCAGGTCTAGACAGCTGGCATCAAGGTAATCCCTAGAAGTGTATAAGGGCATTAGGAGTATACTTAAGAGGGAAATGGAGTGCAAAAAGGGGACATAGTTAAGGAGAATCCAACGAGATTCTATAAATACATTAAGGGCAAAAGCATAACTGGGGACAGAATAGGGCCCCTTAAAGATCAACATGGCCGTCTATGTGTGGAACCACAGGAGCTGAACAAGGTACTAAACAAATGTTTGTGCCAGTATTTATGGTGGTGAAGGACATGGAAGCTAGGGAACTTGAGGAAATAAAAAACTATGTCTTGAAAAGAGTTACATTACAGACGGGGAGGTTCTGGAGGTCTTCAAAAACACATAAAGGTGGATAAATCCCTGGGACCTGATCAGGTGTTTCCCAGAACTTTGTGGAAGTTAGGGAAGGGATTGCTAGACCCGTTGCTGAAATATTTGTATCATCGATAGCCACAAGTGAGGTGCTGGAAGACTGGAGGTTTACTTATGTGGTGCCTTTTTAAGAAAGGAAAAGCCAAGGAACTGTAGACCAGTGAGCCTTGCTTCAGTGGTGGGTAAGTTGTTGGAGGAAACTCTGAGGGACAGGATTAACATACATCTGGAAAGGCAAGGACCAATTAGGGATAGTCAGTAATGCTTTCTGTGTGAGAAATCATACCTCACTAACTTCATTGAGTTTTTTTTTTGTAGAGGTAACAAAGAAGATTGAAGGCAGAGCAGTAGACATTGTTTATATGGACTTCAGCCAAGCATTCAGCAAGGTTCCGCATGGCATTCTGGTCAGTAAGGTTAGGTTGCATAGGATCCAGCGGAGCTAGCCAATTGGATACAAAATTGGCTTGAAAGTAGGAGACAGAGGGTGGTGATGGAGGGTTTTGAGTGGTGTGCTACAAGGATCAGTACTGGGTCCACTGTTGTTCGTCATTTATGTAAATGATTTGGATGTGAATATAGGAGGTATAGTTCGTAAGTTTGCAGATGAAACCAAAATTGGTGGTGCGGTGGACGGTGAAGAGAGTTACCTCTGAGTACAATGGGGCTTTGATCAGATTGGCTGTTGGGCCGAGGAGTGGCAGATAGAGTTTAATTTAGATAAAATGTGTGGTGTCGTATTTTGGTAAGGCACAGCAGGGCAGGACTTGTACAGTTAATGGTAGGGCCCTGGAAGGTGTTGCCAAACAAAAAGACCTGGGGATGCAGGTCCATAGTTCCTTGAAAGTGGTGTCACAGGTAGCCAGGGTGGTGAAGTTTGATAAGTTTCCTTCATTGGTATTAAACAAATGAGTTGGGATGTCATTTTGTGGCTGTCCAGGACATTGGTGAGGCCGCTTTTGGGATACTGCGTACATACTTCTATGAGAAGGATATTGCTGAATTTGAGAGGGTGCAGATAAGATTTACAAAGATGTTGCTGGGACTGGAGAGTTTGAACTAAAGTGAGACGCTCAATAGGCTTTGATTTTGTCCCTGGAGCGATGGAGGCTGAGGGGTGACCTTACAGAAGTGTATAAAATCAGGAGCGGCATGGATAGGGTGAATAGCCAAGGTTCTTTTCCTAGTATGGGGGAGTCCAAACCTAGACACATAGGTTTAAGGTGAGAGGGAAAGATTTAAAAAGCGGCTGAGGGGCAACTTTTTCATACGGCGGGTGGTGCATATATAGAACAAGCTGCCAGAGGAAGTGGTGGAGGCGGGTACAGTTACAACATTTAGAAGGCACCTGGATGGGTATATGAATAGGAATGGTTTAGAGGGATATGGACCAAATGCTGGCAAAAGGGACTAGGTCAGATTGGGACATCTGGTCGGCGCAGATGAGTTGGCTAAAGGGTCTGTAACCGTGCTGTATGACTCTTAAGTTCAGTTGAAAGCACGAGCTAATGAAAATAACTTTGAGTCATAGAGGTCTACAGCATAGAAAAAGGCTCTTTGGCAAATCAAGTCTGCACTGCTCAAAAACAACCATCTAACTATTCTAATCCCATTTTATAGCTGTTGCCCCTAACCTTGTATGCCTTGGCATTGCAGATGTATATCTAAATACTTAAATGTTACAAGGATTTGTTTCTTACAGGCAGTGAGTTCCAGATTGCCACCACATTCTTCAAGCTATCCATTCAGTTTATCAAGCAATATATGCATCCTTGAACAATGAATCTCTGTCTAGCTAGCTGGCCTACTGAATTAAACACTTCTCATATTTACCATTCTGAATATTAATACTGGCTGATCAATATTGAATACTTAGGATACGGAGCAACATGATAGAAATAGTAGTGGTCCCTACTCAACAGGGTTGACAACAGACTGGAGACTGCAGGGTTTCTGAACAACCTTATTTCTGGTCAAGGAACCATTGGTCTCTGAAATTTGAATTGGACTAGTGAAATGGAATACATCTTGTCTTCTGGACACAATAAGTTGAAGTTACAGTTGCTTGCTCAAATGATTAGTTTTGAATGAATTCTAAAAATCAGACTCACTTAATTGACCTAATGTAAAATAGTTGGTCAGATCAGTTCACAGTGGTTCTCATTTGCAGCACTAAAGTAAAGTTAATGACATATCTGAAAAGAGTATTTCTTCGTAAGTGATTAGGCTGTTAGCATAATTTATTATTTCAAATTCACTATATGTATACTTGTGTATATAATGCATATAGTGTTGACCTTCTCATCAAGCAAGAAGTCTATTCAGGATCACAAATTTTTGTTAAGGGTCTTCAATTGATGTGATCAGGCTGATTCTTGAATTTCAGGTCTTTGGGCACTTATTTACTTAATTTTTGATGAAGTGTTAAATATAATCTAAATGGAAAAGTGTTCCAACTCAGTCACGACCAAAGACCAGATTTGTTGCATCAGCTCAACCTTCTATAAACTGCGGCAGCAGTTGTTTGACAGCAAAGATCTGCACAAGTCCTAATGTGGAGACCATTGTCATCACCTGTGTTTTAGTTATACCTGGACTATGTATCAATGACGCACAAGAGTTCTAGAAATATTTGACTAATAATGCCTTGACTGCATTTTCCAGGCTCAGTGGAATAACCACCAAAGATGTTGTCCTTCTTGAAGTCAAGCTATACAAGCATTCAGGTGAAACTCCTGCAGAATCAATTATGATGGACTGGACACTATCCAGTTGACTGAAAAGCATCTCCCTGGCCAGGTCTTGTTTTCTCAAATCTCAAATGGCCAGCTATCCAAGGAAAGATGCTGAAAATAGTAGAAAGACGCTGCCATGCTTCAAGTAGAACTTGAAAGTTCACATTAAAGAGTTGGGGGAGCTTGTACCACTTGTTCAAAATGCAAAGTTGCTAATACCATGACACATGTTATATTTTTGCTGATGGTGGTACTTGGAACAATGGAGATTAGGTTGTTTGTTCACAGCTCTTTCTAAATCACAAAATACCCTGTGTAAGTTTGTGTACTTTGGCACATTAGTTATGGCATATGCATGTGTTACAGATAATTAACTTAATACTGAAAACCATTGCAATATACATTGCAAAGTCGGAGAATTTAATGGATAAAACATCTCCTGTTCAAATCTTTGAGTTAGAGTATATTTTCTCAGATCTGCCCCAACTTAAAATAATTAAAAGCACTTTCTGATGGCATTCTAACAGGATGATGAGTTTAGTTCTGTAGCACACAACAGGTCATCTTCTGCCTAGTACCTTAAGCCTTCAGGACTCAACATTGAGTTTAACAATTTCAGAATATGAGCACCCTCCTCTATGTTCATTATCCTTCTCTCACCCTAGGAGTGGTTTTAGATAGATTGCTGCCAGTCCAGCCAATTCATTTTCAACCACTTGCATTTCTCATTAGCACCCTACTGAGCATTTATCTTTCTGTCAGCTTATCATCAGTTATTTGTTTGTCCATTTCTTTTTGTACACGCTGCCTGGGCTCCATGTATTTTCTTCACACCCTTTCTCCTTCCCTGCCACCGTCCCCCCCCCCCCCCAAAAAAAGACCCTGTCATCAGCATAAATAGCCTCCCATTTCCCAGGTGTTTTCAGTTTTGACAAAGGGTCACTGGAAACAAAGTTAACTCTGTATTTCTCTCTACAAATTGTACTAGACCTGCTGAGTTTCTCCAGCTCTCTTTTTGTTTCAGATTTCCAGCATCTGCATTTCTTTGCTTTTATTATAATGCTGTTCTCTGTATGTTTTTGTAGCAGCTTGCAAGAACGGAGTACAAAAAATGTGCATAATATATTTTGCAATGGAATTTCAAACTTCCTTAAGTTGGCAAATTGTGCCATTGAGTGAAGAATAGCTATTGCAATATCTTTGTTTAAGACTGGAAAAATAGATGAATTTAATGACTGTAGACAAGTTGAGTAAACATTAGAAATCTTTTAGAATGAATGCTCACAGGTAAAGTTTAAAATGCTTGACTATATCAATGGAAACAATCATGGATCTTCTAAAAGCAAGTCTTTGATGAATTAACAACATTTTGGCTTGTGGGAACAAATTTTCAAAACATAAAAATGGGGTTTAACAAGAACTAAAGAAGGCAGTAAAGGACCTGAGGAAGATAGGTTGGTAGAACATCTGCAAGCAGCAGCTTTAACTTTATGTATTACACTGTGAAATAATGGCCTGTATTTTCAACTGGCTACATTGGTTTTTTCTGAAGTGCCAACTAAAGTTGAATATTGAAACCCTGTGAAATCCCAGAAGTAGCAAATTCTGAGGGGATTGACTGAGAATTCTAAGATTCTGTTGGCAATTCCGCCAGTGTTAGAATGCCCTAAATGTATCCATTCAAATCTGAATTCGGAGGTTTCTGGTATAGTTAATAGTTGCCCAGGAAGAGTTGGACAATTAAGTACCTGGTCTAAGTCCTGGGTAACTGTTAAATTGAACCAAACGTGCACATATACCCAATTACAGCAACCCCAGATCCCTAGAAGCCTAACTCCGAAATATTCGCCCCTCCCCCAACCTAAGTATTGTCAAAGTATTGACAAATTAGTTGACTTTTCCTTGGTCACCTATTGTTGCAAGTGTCATCCCATTTGTGCCAGTAAAGATTGGGAAAAGACTGCCAAATGAGTAAGTGAAGGACAGAGATTTTGGAACAGGGCATGTACATTTGATTTGATCTGATTTATTGTCACGTGTACCTCAGTACAGTGAAAAGCTTTGTTTGCGAGCAGTACAGGCAAATCATAGTAAGCAAGAATGTATAAATCATAGGGTGATCAGAGTGAGACATACAGATTACACTGCACAGGACGTGCGCAAAGCAAGACCAACATTATTTGAAGAAGCTGTTCTTGAACCTGTTGGTGCGTGTGTTCAAACTTCTGTATCTTCTGCCTGACAGAAAAGATTGTAGGAGAGTATTACCGATGTGAAATGGGTCTTTAATGTTGGTCAGCCTTTCCGCAGCAATGAGAGGTGTAAGTAGAGTCTATGGATGGAAGGTTGAACTCCGTGATGGTCTGGACTGTGCACACAACCTTCTGTAGTTTCCTCTGGTCCCAGGCAGAGCAGTTGTTATACAGGCCATTGTGCACCTGAATAGTATGCTTTCTATGGTGCATCTGGAAAAATTGGTGTGGGTCCCTCTGGACATGCCAAATTTCCTAAGCCATTTGAGGAAGAAGAGGTGTTGTTGTGCCTTTTTGACCATCACATCTACCTGGGAAGTCCAGGATAGTTTGTCAGTTATCGTCACTCCTAGGAACTTGATGCTCTCAACCTCCACTCCGTTGATGTAGATAGGGGTTCTCCTCTTTTCTTTCTGAAGTCAATGATCAGTTCTTTTGTTTTGCCAACATTGAGAGAGAGGTTGTAGATGGCGTTTATTCGGAATTTGGCTACGCCATCGTGGGTGTACAGGGAGTACAGTAGGGGACCGAGAACGCATCCTAGGGGGGGTCTCCAGTGTTGATTGTTATCGGGAAGGAGGTGCAGTCTATGGGTTAGGAGCCTGAGGATCCAGTTGCAGAGGGCAGAGCTGAGACCTAGATCTTGAAATTTTGAGATTAGTCTGGAGGGGATAATGGTGTTGAGGCGGAGCTGTAGTCAACAAGCAAGCCTTATTGTCCATATATTCCAGGGATGAGTGTAGGTCTGGGAAATGGCGTCTGCTGTGGACTGTTACATCGGTAGGCAAATTGCAGGGGATAGAGGCAGGCTGGGAGGGTAGAGTTGATGAGAGCCATGACCAAGCCTCTCGAAGCTCTTCGTGAATATGGAGGCCAGAACCACTGGACAGTAGTCGTTAAGGCACATTGCATGTGCTTTCTTAGGTACTGGGATGATAGTGGTCTTCTTGAAGCCAGCGGGGACTTCAGCTTGTAGGAGGGAGAGGTTGAAGATGTCAGTGAATACCTCTGCCAGCTGGTTCGCACAGGATCTAAGTGCATGGCTGGAGACTCCGTACGGGCCTGTCCCTTTCCTTGGGTTGACTCTCGGGAAAACTGATCAGCGGTGACGAAGGGAACAGGTGCATCTGGGGCTGTCAGGGCCGGTGTTACTGCGCCACTTGCATTCTGTTTGAACCGAGCACAGAAAGCATTGAACGCATCAGATAGGCATGTGTCTTTGGCCACTATGTGGCTGTGCTTCATTTTGTATCCCGTCATGTTGCTTAGGCCTTGCCACAGGCAGCGGCTGTCCGGTTGGTTGGTTTGGGCCTCTAACTTGGTCCTGTACTACCTCTTGGCATCTCTGGGTTTGCAGAGGTCATGTCTGGATTTTCTGTATAGGTCCGGGTTGTCCAACTTGAATGAGGCATGCCTGCTCTTCAGTAGGCAGTGATTTCCCAGTTCATTAAGGTTTCTGGTTGGGAGCACCCGGATGGACTACCTGGTGGGGGAGAGGGACTAATTACGATGGGAGAGTGTGGGCACATGTTTAAGGGGGAGAAGGCTTTCATTGAGTCTCCTGCCAAGAGAAAATGTGTACAGCATGGCTGAAACCTGCATGAATACATTTTAAGTACTTTAAGACATTTTTGACTTATTTTAATGAATGTTGAGTTATAATATGTGCAGTTTAAATTATGTACTCAATGTTACTGTGCTACTGTTGGTTATTTTTATTGGTGTTTCATTTTTTAAAAGTATTTAATCATTCAGTGTGGGTATTTGTGGCAAGGCCAGTGTTTGTCTCCTTGTACTTAAGTGGCCTTGAGGAGGGGGTTGACAAGTTAAAATGAGGTCACATTGAAAAATAGTTTGTGAAATGAGACTTGAGCTGCTTGTTTTGCTTCACATCTGCATAAGTTAGAAGGATCATGTTCTGGCACTCGTATGGATTTCATCCTGAGTTACATTGCATTGAATGCTGTAATTGCTGAGGTCACTTTGATTTGATACCAACATATTTTTCTACTGTCTTGTCCATAATAGAACTTGAAGGGCAAAGTAACGTTTTTGTGCACTTAAAGTCTAATAATTTCACCCATATTGAAGCATGTGCATTTCACTGCAGATCATTTAAAATGCCTTAACACTTGATTCTTCATCCCAAAAAGCACTTTCAGACCTTTTTGTCTTTGGCTACTATTTTTCAGACCTATTTGGCCTGGGATACTTGTACCTCAGGTGATACAGTCTCGATGCCTTTAGCACAAATTCTACCAGTTCAGAAACATTGTGATTCAAACAATGCTGTGAAGAAATTAATTGCTTTGTAATGTCATTGGCTGCAGTACTTGCATTGATGTCTTCAGAAAAATATTGACACATTTAGTGATTATTATTTTCTTTAAGGAAAGGTGGAGTAATTTGAACAAAAGATCATCTTTACTGACGGTATTTGCTTTTCCATTTACAAATAAGTGAACTTTTCTTTTTCTTCTTGCAAGAAAGCTGCCTTTAGGCATTGCTGCTGTAAAAACAGAATTGTTTTGACTCAAAATTAACTGCTTAGAGTTTCTTTTGGTTCTAGGCTATTTTCTGAAATGCATGATTGTGTGATCATCCACTTCTTTCTTTACAAATATTATCGTACAATTTAGATAGTCAGGGTTCTAAAAAAGTTCTTTAAAACCCTGTGGATTTTGGTCTGATGATATATCGTTTTGCTAGAAATAGCTAAACATGGGGGTTTAAACACATGTATGTATAAAATTGTGTCTGTGTGTGTATTTGGTAGAGATAACAGGAACTGAATGAAGAAACATGTAGTTTTTAATTGTGGCATTGATCAAAGGCAAGTAATATGTTAACATTTGTATAAACTTTAGGACTGTAACTAATTCTCTACATAGAGATAAAATATTCAACGTATCTTGTAACACATGTTTGATTTCCTTTTATACTAGTGAATGAAGCATAATTCTCATTAAATCAGAAGAAACATATTGTTCTGGGATCATTATTCTTAACTGTTGTTGAGCCCTATCCTAGTAAATCCAATTATATTTTGAACTGTTGTCATTATCTAAGCATTACTGTTTTCACGTTGGTTCACTTTGGCTTATTTAACCTATTTAACATAAGTCAGCCTATTGCTACTTGAGCCGTTGTAAAGGTTGTACTGCACAAAGTACTGATTTATGATAAGTCAGCATAAGGTTGAGATCGTTATCCCCATTATGACAATGCAGTCATACAATCTGTGAAGTTAAATAACAGCAAAGAATGAAACAAAGTCGGTGTGCTTTGTAGATTTTCCTTGTATGCACCTTTTTTTCTGTCCGTGGTTCAAAAATTAAGCAAAGATTGCTGGAAAACAAATTTATCAATAGCTGCAACACTGACAAGCTGTAGATTCTGTTAATACTAACTTTATAATTTGGTGACCAAGTGTTCTTTTGTTCAAAGTTATTACAATGTTTTATTCAACTTACGGCTGAATTGCAGTGTAACTTGCGTCAATAAATTTATAATATGTTTATAGACTGAGTAATAAAACTGAAACTATGGAAATGTGACAATTTTGTTATTGCAAAAATAGATAATTTCAGGCAGTAAAGTTGTAGACAAAAATATTACTTAATATTGTACAATACTGAAAATGTTCCCCTTTTTTTAGGTTATTTTCACTGGTGATAATATTCCAGTTCATCCTCACGTTTACAGCAATGGACATATTTGCCTCTCCATTTTGACAGAAGACTGGTCTCCAGCTCTCTCTGTGCAATCAGTCTGTCTTAGCATCATCAGCATGCTTTCCAGTTGCAAAGAAAAGGTAATCCAAGGTTAGAGTCAAAGCTATAATTTATCAAGCAAGCAATTTTTGCCTCAAGAGTCTGTTTTTTTTAAACTGGGAGAGAGAAAGAAAGAGGAGAAGTTGTCTATAATTGAGGTATCTGTTTGCGATTATGATGTTTACTAAAAAAATAAAATCCACTGTGAAAATATGCTACATATTGACATGATTCTCATGGATAGTATTTTTTTTAGATTGTTGTTCTCGTCAGGAGAAGGAGGTCAGGAGAATGCATTGACATGTCATGTATCGTTGTTCGTAGTTGATTTGGAATAGCAGATTAAAACCTGGGATTTGGGAATTATTGCTGTGGGCAAGGTGAATGATAGTTGTTCAAAAGTTTCCTAACAATTTCAAATGATTTGCTCATATACATTATGTGATCTGCACCCTGATGGTTGAGTTTTCAGATTACTTAGCAAATTTGTACTTGAATCCTAAACGTTCCTTTACTCAAACTTAGGTTGGCGAGAAATGCAGCATTGTTTTACTGGGATCAATTACAAGGATTGTGGGAGGGCTGTAAGCAATTTGGAAGAGATAACTGTAAAATGATTTAAGATATGGTTTCATAACACAGGCTCTAGTTAGATAACTTTTTAAGTTGACAATAAGTTTGGTAAACTACCCTTGGTCTCATAGTACCACTGCCTATATTAGTTTGGCAGCAATAGCATCAATTGTTTTTATCTTGGTGAGAATGTTATTCATTCATTTACTCTAAATGTTATAGCAGTGTCTTGCTTTTAATGACTTCAAGTAGTATTTCAAGCAACTTTACTGTCAGCAGATACTCTGTTCTAATGTCCATTAAGTTTCCTTACAAGCCAGGGCCCAGAAATATTTAGTGAATAGTACCTTTGACATGATAGCTGTTGAGTCAATATGTTGCAGTTTTGTATGAGCATTATTTAAGGTATTATGATGCCATAATCTGAAAAACGTATTCTTTGTAGAATCTGAAATTGTGATTGTACAAAATATTTGCCTAAACATTCAGTGGGAAATTTTGGTGGAAGATTTAGTGTTTTGTCTATTATTTTCTATAATTAACAGATTTGCTCTCTCTTTATTATGTAGTTATCCTTCTAAATATGTTAGTGTTCTTGTTTCATGTCTGGAGACATAAAATAGATCAAAATTATGGTCTGGAAATGTTTGGTGTGGGTGAATATCCGTAACTAGCACCAAATTCTCTCCATAATATTTAATACACAGGCTAAATTCAGTGCTGCCTTTTTGTTATTCCTATCAAATGCAGTTGACGTTTTCTATGACATCAATCATTTAGTAGACGCGAGTAAAATTCTGGATTTTGTTGAGTAAATTGTTGAGAGTTCTACAATTATAATACAATTTGAATCAAATTTTGGATATAGTGAATGTAATTTTTAGAAGTTGATAACATGGTCAAAGCATCTACCCGCCACCAAAATACTTGCAGTCCACTGGAGTTTTGCATTAATTTAAAAAAATTTCTGAGGAGTATTTAGCAGATTGAATTTTTTCTAATTTTGCAGTTCTTAAATATCAGATTAGTCCTGAAGTAGCTCAGCTGTTGAATGGTGCAAGTAATAAAACACCACAAATAATGACTGATTTAATCCCCAAAGTATACCAAGGTTGTTCATAGATCTGGTACATGCAGTGTCAATGCTGCTAGGCTTGGCAGAAATAAAGTAACTGGGATTCCAGCATTTGTCTTGGAAATGGATAGTGGGTAGTGAGGAAGGCTAAACTGATTGATTAGCTAGTACAGATACTATGGCGGTGAAGCCGATGATACCCTTCATAATTTAAATCCAATCAGTTCTCAATTAATCAGATCCAATGGTAAAGTTATAATTAAATAACAAGGGGTTAACACTAAAATGCCTGGAATGATTCAATAAATTAATCTAATATTTTAGGTAATTAAAAGTTATGTAAAAAAAATTTCAGTTATTGTTTATATAAAATGAAGTTAGTTCAGTAGAAAAGCAACTGATTGGTGAGTAACTGGTGAATATTTAGTAGCTTTTCTTGCCTAATAAATAGTGCCATGCAAGGGCAACTAGGACTCATGAAGTGTGCATTCTGATACACAGTGGAACTTGAGGATGCTTCTTTTCTGGATAATGACGAATGCAGGAAATATTGTCAGATGTAGCGTCTTGAGCACTGGAATGCAGAACTTGAGCAGCAGCTGTGAGGCAGTGTGTAGATAGGGTGTTTATAGATGTGGTCGCTCTGCAGCTTGGGGTTTGCAGGTAGAGAGGGAGCTAGTAACTATAAGGCACTTGAGAACAAGACAGGTAGTGCAGGAGTTCCCTTGCTCTCCAATGAATTTTCAGTTCTGAATGCAAGTGATAGTTCATTTGAGAAATGCAACCGGTACAAGGCCTATGGTACCATAACTGGCTCAGCTATGTGGGAGAAGAGAGAGAGGTAAGTACAAGGAAGACTGGCAAATCAGTGATGATAGGGGAATTGGTAGTTAGGGGATCAGGCAGCTGTTTCTGCTGCAGAGATGTAAATGTAGTGTGGTATGTTACTTTCCTGCTGCCAGGGTCAAGGTGGTAACTGAGTGACTGCAGAGTACCTTGAGAAGAAGGGTGAATAGCAGTGGTAGTGGTCCATGTCAGTACTGATGGCATGGTCAGAAGACTTTATGGAGCAAGGTAAGAAACTAACGAGCTGGACCTAAAAGGTAGTCATCTTAGAATTACTCGTTGTACCATTCTGAAGTGAGCATAGAAATGGGAAGTTAAAGCAGATGAATGCGTGTCTGGAGAGAGGGTGGTAAAGTGAAGAGGGAGAGAGAGAGAATAGCTGGGAGAACTTAGAATTCTTAGGCATTTGGAAGAGTTTTAGGGAAAAGGGACTGAGCAAGCTCGATGTGTTGCATCTGAACCAAGCTGGGGAATTGCACAAACAAGTATGCAATAATAAGCCTGGCAAATACAGGCCAATCCTTTTAACCTCAGTGCAGGTTACAAAGTTAGTAGTCACTTGGCAAATGTGGAGTGATTAAGGAAGGGTAGCACAGAATTCATCATATTTAGGTTACTTATTGGAGTTTGTTTTTGCTATGGGGTTAATGAGGGTAACAGTGATGATGTGGTGCATATGGACTTTAAAGGTAATTTGATAATGTACCTCACAACAGATCTTTGTCAAAATTAGAACTCCAGAAATAAAAGAGACAACAGCCAGGCTTATTTTCAGCCAGGCACCAATTTTGAAGTTGACGGTTTATTCATAAGTTATAGTACAGAAAGAGATAATTTAGCCGTGGCACGTGCTTCTGTCTGAAAAAACAAATCACTTTGTGCAATCCCCTGCTTTCCTTCTCCATACAGCGATCACCTTGAATCAATGCCCTGTTGCCCTTGATTTTTCCACACTCACCATGATTTTGAATATCTCAATCAAATCCCCTCCAACCTTCTCCGTGGAGAGCAGATCCAGATTCTCCAATCTGTATACTTGCCCAAATGGGTTCCAGGGATGAACAACTTCTTGTGTACCCTCTGCACCTTGATAGTATCGTTACATTTTTCCTAGGATGTGGTGCTTAGAACTTGATGCAGTATTCGAGTTGAGGCTGAATGAGTGTGACACAGTGTTGCAAAGTGGGCAGGAACTATGAACTTTTCTCCAACTGGCTGTTAAAGCTCATTGTTGCACTTTTTCTGTTAACCTGCTGAAATTAACTAATCCCATATAGATCAGAAGCTGAACATCCTGCCTTTCAAGTTTGTATTTCCCCCAGCAAGGGATCAGAATCAGCAAAATAAACAACGCTTTATTGAAGTAGCATTTTTAGCATGGAGAGCATTTCACTGCCGCTCAGGCATAAAGAAAACGGGCATAAGTCTTTGTCAAAGAGGTATGTTGATGAAAATGGTAGAGAAAATTACGGAGAGAGCTCCAGATATAAGGATTCTGAAGGCATTTTCGCTAGAGGAGGAGAAATATACAATATGCAAAGGAATATGGTGTACCTGGAGATGATGGGAATATGAGCGTGAAGAAAATAAAGGAAGAAATTTAAATCCAAAGATAATTTTGGGGCATGGAGAGTTAATGTGCAGTTCAGTTGGATGGATTGCTGGTTTATGATTGGTACAGATACCAGTAGTACAGATACCAGTAGTGTGGTTTCAATTCCCGTGATGACCTTCAGATTAAACCACCACCAGCTGTCTCTCTTTCTCTAATGAGAGAGCAGCCCTCTGGTCTGGTAAAACTGTGACAATTTTACCTTTAACTTAATGTGCACTATTTAAAATGGAGGTGATGGTCTAGTTGTTTTTACCGTAGAACCATAGAATCCCTACAGTATGGAAACAGGCCCTTTGACCCAACAAGTCCACACCGACCCAGAGCATCCCACCCAGACCCATCCCTCTATAACCCACCTAATCTTCACATCCCTGAACACTACGGGCAATTTTGCATGGCCAATCCACCTAACCTGCACATCTTTGGACTGTGGGAGGAAACAGGAGCACCCGGAGGAAACCCATGCAGACACGTGGAGAATGTGCAAACTCCACACAGACAGTCGCCCGAGGGTGAAATCGAACCCGGGTCCCTGGTGCTGTGAGGCAGCAGTGCTAATCACTGAGCCACCGTGTTGTGTAGAAAATTATGAATATGGCAGAAGTTTGCACAAGGCATATTTTATAGGTGGTGTAAGAATGTAATCTGCAAATCTGAAATAGTGAATACTGGAAATAATAAAGGCATCTGAGGGTTTGGGCACTGTGAAGTTTAAAATAAGAATGCTTAATTTTGCTAAAGATCTGCAGAGGGGTTCTAGTTTATTTAGAATTAGTGTTGATATTATATAAAATATACTGCACCCTTCAGTTACCAGGATTATGGACAGTTGTGCCTCTTTTGCCCAGAGAAGAGTAAGACCTCATATCTACTGTCATGAAGTCAACATTTGGAGACTTCTGCAACGAAAATAGTTTATCACTTGTATGTTT